ATGTAGCTTATTATAAGGATTCTAATAAGTTATATTTCATCTTTTTACAATTACTGGTTACCAAATTATTGCTATTTAACTTATTTGAATTAGAATTATCAGATTAGTAAATATAAATATATATTTGACCAATTTGGCCAGCCAAAACTTGAAAAAAATTTTGGCCATTTTGGCCGCGACCAATAGCCAAATGGCCAAATGCCAACCCTGCCCTACCGGGAGGGACATATCCTGTGACTGATATACTCCTTTGAGTTGTAAACATTTATTTTCAGTAGCAATTTTAGTAAATATCCGTACACAAATACTTTGAAAGCAGTGACTCCAAGTGGAGCATTGTAAATTTTTTAAACACGTGTGAGCTTGAACCTTTTGAGCGAAAGACAAATTGTTACACTAAAAGCCTCAAAAACATAGTTAATAATGTAGAAGTAGAAGATTGCAGATGCGAAAGTACACAACGGTTACTTGATGAATATTATAAGGCGAGTATGAGACATTTTAAAGGCGGGGTCTTTTGGCGTTGGAGTGCAGTGACCTTCTAGGTTGTCTGATACTCAGGTAGTGTTAGAGCGCAGAAGTTGACCTTCTAGGTTTTCTGTTGTTAAAAGCTTCTAGCCGACCTGATACTAGCCCCGTTGAAGCAGGTTGACCTTCTAGGTTGATCTGTATTTAAAGGCTTCTAGCCGATGCAACGGATGAGAGTTATAAGAAATTTGAATGTGTTAGTCAATAATGATGCTAATATATAAATATTTCATGAAGGAACCTCAAACTGATCGCAAAACATCGAGGAAGTGGGAGAAAGAACGTTCTCGCAAGCAACTTCACATCAATCAGCCAATATTTAGCATTGGAACAATAAACGGCGAAACGGCTGGATTTTTGCAACTGGATCTTCAAAAAGAGAAAGAGAAGTTCCTGATCTACAGGTGCGCTTTTTTTGTTAGAAGTCGTGAAAATCGACAGAATGTTTGCTGTAAAACTTAGCTCTTTCTTCTTGTATTTAGTCCGATGATGATTTCATCATGCCTATTCAACCAAAGCGGAAAAAACAACTATCTCTTTCAAGAAAGGTCGGTACAATGATAAAGTTTGAAATTTATGCAAGCATTTTTCTTTTAATGGCCACTTTTGATATCTATAGAGCAAAGAATCGGAAGAATCAGTTAGCACTAAGAAGGTCAGTATAGATTGTGAGAATTTGTTCACGCGAATTCCTCTCGAAAAACTATCACCAGAGATGAAGAAAACATAGATCCATTCGTTAGCAGTAATGAAGCCGAAGGATCTACAAATTCTGATTTCTCAAGACCACATTCGAAAAATACTTCATCATCATCAAGTTCGCCATCCTTAGAGAGGCCAATCGCAAGGCCTAGCATCCCAGATCATCAAATTTATTCAACATCTGTAAATCAAGAATTAATCAAACGGCTAAATCAAGAAAAACAGCAAATTAAATCGATTTTGTAAATAAGCATACTTATTAAAGTTAATCTGTATTCCTATATCATGTTTATTAATTAACTAATTGCCTCTATTTTTATAATAGTGAAACCCATCAGCTCAAATATAATTGACATAACGAATAATCATTTAATGGAAAGATTAAATATAAAATGTGATTATCATTTATGGGTTCCTATTGTTAACGATGCTACGAAATATATTAATCAATTAATCGATAATGTATGTTTAAGGATTTAATTTCTTTTTCTTTATATTCATTACTAATTTCGCACACTTTTTTCTTTATCTCGGTTTTCAGTCTGACACTCGCGATAAATACCGTAGAAAACTCCAACTTTCATTTATACCACTGGAAGAAACGTATTCATTTAGCAAACATTATGAAATGAATTGGGTCCACTGTTTCGCCAACAAATTGTGGGTATTTGGTTTCATTTCTATAGATGTCATTTTGCATTGTTAAAGACTTACTTCATCTTACCTGTTATTATATAGATTATCTTTTTTTGAGGCTCCACGAAACCCACTCCTAAATAAAAACTCAGAAGGTTGGCTGAACTGCCATATTTTGACTCCATTAATCAATGACTTCTTTTTGACATGCGAAGAAATTCAAGTACATCGGTATGAAATTTCTTTCCTAGTAATATTTAATGTGATAGTTGATTTCTTAGCTTTGAATTATCCTCTTTATTTTCAGGAGTGAAGAGATATCATTGACGTCTATTGAGCATAAAAACTTATCACGTGAAGAATCAGAAAGAAAACAATATGGTCACAAAATTGACATTCTCTTTCGCATCGATGACACAGAATACTTTGGTTCTGAAACATACGTTGACGAAGATCCACAGAATTCAAAACTGATTTCCTACAAGCAAAAACTTTTCCGAGAGATGAAAGACCAACTAGACCGCCTCTTAAAAAAGTTAAATTTTACAAGAGAGACAGCTAGGGAGATAAAGAATATTATTATACATGGAATAAATCAAGGAGGTAGTTATAGGAAATTCTTTTACAATTATCTTTCACACTTGGCTGAAACTATCCTTTACATTTAATAAACATTATTTTACCTTTGAGATATGCCGGTATTGAATCGGTACTACACTACCTGGAAATAAGTTTGCGCAATCAGTTTTTCAGAATTTATTCAAAATCGTATATAATAAAAATCAATATATTTTGGCACCAATCGAAAGCCCTG